GCTCAGACAGCACCTTCAGGCTGGACGCAGACTTCTGAGGAAACACTAAGTTTACAGCCAATAGGCTCTGACCTCTGACCAGGTGTGTTATCTGAACCACCAGGTAAAATATACACAACCAGAGTTTATCTCTGCTAGTTTGTTTTTAAATATGAAACCTGCTATATTAGTGTGTTTTTAATTTGTACAGTTTGTGTTTTTTTTTGTAATAAAACTAAATGTTCTGAATATAAAAGTCTCGATCTTTATTTTAAACGTTTGCTCTTTTATTAATTTATTTAAAGTTTAGCGTGATTTATTCAGTAAGTTGTCGACCAATAAATATAAACCTCAGCTCATTTTATATTTGTATTACAGTAGTAAAATATAACATTAATCTGGGCTTTAGAGGAGCCAACGGGTGGTTATTTGTTTTACTCTCTGGACAGAGCAATGCTACCTGGTTCTAGTCGTTATGCTAAGCTAACTGACTAGCTTCATAAACGGCATAAAGACACCGAGTGAGACGTCAAACTTTACTCTTAACTTTAATTCTTTCTCCATAAATTTAGTCAATAAAATGTGAAACAATCCAAACTCTCAAATAAAGAATCAATAGATTTTGGAGTCGAATATTAAAAACTATTTCAATAAAAGGACAGACGGGAAGTGACATCACTTCCTGTCTGTCGGCTGTCAAATAAAATCAAATAAAGTTTGACGTTGAAACATTTTCCAGAGAATCTTCAAAAAGTGGAAAATTATTAGAATAGAATTAAAAACCTCAAACACAGATCATACAAGCTGAAGCATTCAATGTAACAGTGCAGATAAAGTATTACACAAAGTATGTCTGTCTGTCTGTCAGCGGGGATGTGTGTAAAGAGAAGTCGCCGGTTTTGTCTCATCCTTGTGACGTTGTCCGAGTGACGTGACGTGAAACACGGAAGTAAACAAAGGTCCAAAGAGTAGCTTCGCGTCGAGCTTCTCTGCTTTAAACATGTCTGTTTCTAACCCGAGACAGACGTTCTCTAACCCGGTAAGACTCTGTCGTGTTGGTCTCATGTCCGGTTATTGTCATTCTCCCGTTTCATTGTCGACATTAACGTTAAATTAACTTCTTACCGAACATTTAGCTGGTTAGCAGGCGAGCTAGCACCCGAGCTAACCGCTCAGTTTAGTCTCAAGTTGATCTCAAAGTAATGAATATTTAATGTGTCGTTTAACGTGTTTAGAATGATATGTATAAATATGTACATAAATACATTTATATCGGTAAAATATTAGCGGAGTTTCGTTTCTGACCAACTACGTCATACTGCATTTAATTATTAGTTAAACAGTTTGTCTCATTCTTAAAGAGCCTCTTTATAGTTTGTGTACCGAATTTGTTTAAGTAGTTTAGCTGCTTAACGTTTAAAGGTGAAATATTAAAGCATTGATAAATATAATAGTTACTGGTGTCAATAGAATAAACTACTGTAGATACGATAGATATATATTATGTAGACACTATAGATGTATATCTATAGTGTCTATATAATATACATCTACAGACACTATATATTCTCCCCCCCTCCCCCCCCACACAAGGCGGTTCCCTTTGCTGGGACCATCCTGGGCGGTCTGCTCCCGGGGGAGATGGTTCTCATCCAGGGCTCCGTGCCGTCTGAGGCCGACAGGTGAGACAGTTTAAAACCTCTCTGATCTACCTGTGTTCATGACGTCATCACTGATCTACCTGTGTTCATGACGTCATCACTGATCTACCTGTGTTCATGACGTCATCACTGATCTACCTGTGTTCCAGGTTCCAGGTGGACTTGACGTGCGGCAGCAGCGTGAAGCCGAGGGCCGACGTGGCGTTTCACTTCAATCCGAGGTTCAAGAAGTCTCCGTGCGTCGTCTGTAACTCTCTGCAGAAGGAACGCTGGAGCAGAGAGGAGATCCTGAACCAGAACCCGTTCACTGTCGGGGAGACCTTTGAGCTCATCGTCCTCGTCCAGGAGGACTCGTTTAAGGTCTGAGACCACATGACTCACTTACATCTAGTACAGTATAAAGTACACTATGTGCCTCTGAGGTGTAGTACAGTATAAAGTACACTATGCGCCTCTGAGGTCTAGTACAGTATAAAGTACACTATGCGCCTCTGAGGTC